AAAATTATAAATCGAAATAAATCGAAATTTTTAAACAAATCGAAAATAATTTTTATGCAAATCGAAAGAATTTTTACGGGTCCCTGCATCCATACCATGTTCTTATGTGTTCCTTATGGCTGACCATAATGTCTCAGAGCATATGTAATTTGTAAAGGCTTCAGCATGCCTTCTAACTTGCATATTTTGCTTATTGGCTTACAGGAGGGTTGTAAGAAAATACCAGACCCAGAGTATGCATAGACTTATACTGGAGGTGAAGATTGTAAAAGGTAAACACCACCATCAGCATACAAACTTGTAAAGTTTCACTCGTATTTTGGTAAGTCTTCAATGCTCTAGCTGGATTCAATAACCCACCATTGGTAGCTGATTGCTATTATTCACAAGTATCAAAGAGAAGATGAGTTTCAGTACAATTAGTCACTATGTTTATTTCTCTCGCGCTTGTGACTATTTCTCCAGGTAGTCGTTGAATTGTTCTAGTAGCAATGGTATAGATGTACAAATCGGTTGCTGATAACATATATTGCTACGCTAATACTAAGGCAATAACAATAGCGAATTTAAAAGTTTTGCTAAAGCTAAAGCAGGTTATTACAGTGCTCCATAGACCACAGGTCATAGATGCTTCCATTAATTTACTGATTGTTGCACCTGATTCTTTCAGAATTAGTGTTTGAATGAAGGCAAAAATGCCCGCTAGAATAGCCGGCAATATGAACTTTACAATAATAGACATTATTCTTGTAAACACCGTTACTGTTGATAGGAATAAACTGATACGCAAGTTCCATATGAAATTGACATCCATCTTTTGGCTATACATAAATGCATAGACTAATAAAACCAATAACGAGATGGAACCAATCCAACCAAGGATGATACCTTGAAATATTGATGATCGAAGAAATATGCCTACTATGGAGGTTGGTACATTTTTTTCACCTTTATGTGAAAGGATTGCAATTGTGGATTTGTTACTGTCACATTATTCGATTGATACAAACGTTTCTAAGAGTTTTTCTGAAATTCCATAGCTTCGTTAAGACAAAACATGAACGTTAAAAAAACATTCATGTATATTTATAATTCGTACAATAAAAAATAAAAATAATAATGCATTTAGCGTAAAATAAGCCAATCACTTTAATATTTTTTGTATGTTTTGGTACACAAATCCATAAATTAAGAAAAGTTAATATAATAAAATTTTTTAAAGTCCTAAAAAGAAATGACCTTCTGATGTATAATTTCTCAAAAAAATAATAATTTGTAAAAAAAGGTTTATAATGACTGCGCTTAACTTCGAGAAATTACTGTGCCTTGTTTTAAAAAGATCCCACTTTTAATAAATAGATTGTTCTTTTTAAGGGAGAATTGGATTGTTGCTTCTAAATAGAATTTTATATAAATAGGGCTTATTTTTGTCTTTGTGAAAAGATATGAGGCTTTTATAGTGGTAATTAAGTGATCCATTATTTGTGTCACCGGTGATGTTTGAATTTTTATTATAAATATTTGATTTTTTCGGTGGGTAGGTTTATACGTCACGAATTATAGCAGCCAATCGTAGCGTGGCATTTAGATTATTGATCTATATTCAGTCCTTCTTAAATCAAAGTATTTACTATTTTTATTTTATAATCCAATGACGGAAATATATAGAAATCTTCCAAGATATTAATTATACTAATCATAACGTGAAGTTATATTTACTCATACAAATTACATCATGCTTACTGCGCAAAAATTAACATAATACTTTATTAAAATAATTCAAATAATAATTGTAAAAAGAAATCATTTAGCCGTTTCGATTATAACACTAGTTGTTTAAGAATCAGTCACACACGGATCAACATTTAAAGTTGCTTGACCTCTTTCAGGATCTTGTAACCTATGTACACGAACATCAGGACCAGGTGAAACGCTGCTCGCGTCCTGTGGAGTAATTAAAATATATTGTGTGCAGTCTGCTTCACGTGCTGTTTCGATCTATTTAATATCAAGATAATTAATTTAAGATAATGATACATAAAGAATAATAAAAATTCATTAATTGTAAGTTTTAAATCTACCATCATTTTCATGCTTATCCTACGATTTACAGCATCCATGAAAACATCGAATTCATCAAGACTATTAAAAGTATAAATAAACATAATTAATATATATTTAGGAATAACAGTTCATGAATATGATATAGTTTTACCATCGAATAGGACATCCCATAGCTTCCCAAAGAGCTAACAATAAACAGATGGTAGAAAATGATTTTTCTCCACCAGATAAAGATTTTGGATCTTTATCACTACCTTGACCTATTTGGTCATCAATTTGAACCTAAATATTAGAAGATTGTTAATGTCTTTTTTTTTTTTAGCTTACAATGAAAATTATTCGTTAAGATATACAAACTCGTAAGGACAATTTTTTATTTGGATGATCAAACATTAATTTTCCTGAATAACCTCGTTTAGATAGCTGATATGTAAATTGTATCTTAGAACGAACAGCAATAAATGTTCTAAAATTACGCCACTTGGACATACGATCTTGCAAAGCAGATTTGAGATCCTAATATCATAATAAATTGAACTTAGTACTTTATAAAACATTAAAAATAGCAAATTTTTTTTAAATATTGATAGCACTTTGACGAATATCTCCATATGTTCGATTTCATGTTTTGCATTACGATAGGCATCGCACGTAGCAGCCATAGCTGATGCGATTTCTTCGAGACTTGCACCATGTCTTGTAGGAAAAAAATTTAAGCCAATGTTATTATGTAATATTATAAAAATTTATATAAGACCTACTTTTTCTCTCTCTCTCTTAGTCGAGCCTGAAATTCTTTTATCTCACGATCTAGTTCATGTGCTGGCTTAGTTACTTCAACTCGTTCAGGACAATAATCTCTCGCTTGCTTTGTCCATTCCTATATATGGGCAATCATAGATGTTAAAATATAAATAAAAATTGAGTAAATGAAATTAATAATGACTACCTCCAGAACTAGCTTTTTTTTTTCAACTTCGGATGAAGCAGTGGCAATGTTCTCTTTTTCTAACGCTAATTTGTTTTCCCAATGTTTTTTATTCATTTCGCTCTTTACTCGTGTTCGAACTTTTTCTTCAATATTAGCCTTTATGTTAACAAAAAGTAATAGTATAATTAACATAATGTTTAATTATCATAGAATCATACTAATAATAAAACTTTAGATGAAGATATTATAAACCTGCTACTCGTATTTCTTTTCTCAACTTACACCAAGACTTTCGGCTTCACTTGATAATGCATCCAGTCTTTGTTGAATGTCTTCGAATTCATTCACTAAAGGTTCATGTTCATCGGTTAATTGTAATTTTTTTCTTTGAATATTGACGTATTGTCCCTTATACATTTCAATTTCATGCTCAGTTTCCTATATAAATGGATTATTTAATAAAACTTTCCATGGTTAATCATATATAGAAATATAGAATACTAACTTTTTTGACTTCTTCAAGAGCAGCAATATTTGCTGGTTCGTCTTGCTAAAAATAAGCATAAGGAAAAAAAAGTATTTTTTTAAAGAAAACTTAATATAAAAATAAAATAATCTTCATTGATAATTTTGATATTACAAATCACAACCTGTAGATCTTCTTTTAATTGTAAAATTTGATTATTTAATTCTTTGAATTTACGATTATCATCTTGGATTTTACGCTGAATATAAAAAAAGATATTATATAAATAATAATTGCCTTAATTTATATAGATATATTTATATATATAGACTATACTTACCAATAATGCTTTTTTTTCATCATTTACTTTATTCAGTTCAAATTCAGCTCTTTCCAATTCAACCTTGTAACGACTATTCGTCTCTTTAGAATCCGATAATTTCCTTTCTGCATCTCTAAGATAACTTAAAATAAATATACTGGTAATAAATAAAGACAATATTATCGAAATAAATTACCGAATTTGGCCATCAATATCTTGTTTAAATCTAGCTGGTCCTCTATATCTATTGATAGATTGTGTTGAAAAACCACCGCCTCTGAAAATGTAATCGTATATGGTAGAATATATTAATTTTTGTAATGTAGTCGACAATAGTTTGGAATACAACGTTACTTACTTATGACCAACTTTATATCCATCGATTGTATAACATCCCTCAACATTACGAGGAAACCCATTCCCGTTATTATGCATTATTATATCGGCCTCCGCACGTTTCTCAACAAGAATTATCGATTCAATTCGATTATTGTTTATAAGACGACGTTTAACATTTTCATCATCGATCTAAAAAATTAAAAGTTACTAAAAAAGAAAATAATAATAAGAATCGACTGAATACCTTTAATGCTCGTAAGATAGTAAGAAATCGTTTATCAGGTTCTCCCTGCGTATAATCGAAATTATCATCTTCACCGATAATAATTGGAGAATTACTAAGAAATAATAAGTTTGATGAGTTTATACGTAAATTACAAAAAATATGTGAATTTATTTTATATACCAATTAAATCTTTTCATGATGTCCGCCAAAAGCCTTTGATCTCTATGGTTATTAACAGCAAACGTGCTTAAAGTATTGCCAATCACAGATTCAAGAGTATCACTCCATTCAGGATTTAATAATTTCATATATAATCCAAAAGGTCCCACAGGTTTCTTATTCCATCTATGCTCTCCATTAATAGCTTTAAGTACATCCGGAATCGTAGGACCGAAAATCTTAAGATTGTTACTCTTCTGCTCCCTTAATTGTTGCAAGAGATTTTCATTACGTGCAACGTCTTCTTGGTTTCTTCGTAGATCCCCCTCCCAAGACAACCTTTGGTTGCGAATGTGAACGCTTTTTTCTTCAAGTTCAGTTAATTGTGATTTACATTGCTTCTGCTCCTCAACCAATGTTTCAAGTTGCTCTTCTGCGGTTCTAATAGCGTTCATTATTTCATTACGCTTTTGGCGATTAACATCTTTAAGTTTCTGAGTTTCCTCATCTATTCTTTGTTGATGTTTCTCAACATCTTGTTTTAAGCCTTTAATCGAATCATTAATTTCTCTTTCTTCGTTCTATAAAAAAAATATATTTACGTCAATATACAAATCTAATTAAATTTTTTTGAATTCAATTATACATGCCTTTAGTTCATTCAATTGTCTCGTCTTATCTCTAATGAGAGAATTTAATTCATTTTTTCTCTCTTTCAAAGGATTGATAGAAAGATTTGTCAAATCATGATATTTTTGCTCCAAATCTAAGACAACTGTATTAATTTCATCAAATTCAGTCTAGAATGATCAAAAAGAAAAAAAAATAAGTAATTAAATAAACCGTAAAATCTATCAATATTTAATAAATATTTACTTCTTCCTTATCGAGTTTTGCTTGTAAATTTGGTAAACGTCTCATGGCTCGTTGTGCATTTCTCTCAGCCTCAATAACTTCTTGTTCTTTTTCCTCAACTTGAGCCCAAGCCATCTGATTCTTAAATGATGCGACGTTCAACTCAAGTTCACGAGCTTTTTGCATATCTTTATATCGCTCTTCTGCTTCCTTAGCTTCCTTGAGAAGCTCCGGCACAACTTCTTTCTTATATTTAATTATATTTTGTGTAGTTTCGATGCTTTCACGTATTAGCTCGTAATCTTCACTTAATTGGGTCAATTGCGTTCCTTTCATAAAAAACTTATTAAAAGGAAATCATTAGAGAAGGTATTATTTGTACTAATTATTTTCAGCGATAGGAAAATACCTTATATTTATCTTCAGCACTCGATGAATGTAAAAATTGACGAGCGGTATCCTGAGACAACACATTTATAGGGTTATCCACTTGTATAGCCATATGATCTAGAATGGCATTCAACTCTTCCCTCTTTTCAGAGACTGTCTTTTTTCCATCATGAGTTTTTATCTTGTATTTATTACTTCCATCACTAGAAATACGACGTTCAATAATAATCGAGTCGCCATATATATCTTGGTTAAAAGCATCTTCCCCACGATTTCGAAGTTTTATAGTAATTTGTGCAACACTACATAATATATAAATTAGTTTTATTCATGTAAATGTCAAGATAAAGTAACAAGATTAATAAATTACTTGGAGCCTTCACGAATAAGCGATTTTAAGTTTGAAGCACGGTTTGTCACATTAGCTTTTCCTCCAAGACAGACCGTAATTCCTGTTAAAATAGCACTTTTTCCACCTGAAAAAAAATTTTATTAGAAAAAAGAAAATCGAATCATTAATTTTGAGAATAATGGTAATAAAATACTCACTTCCATTGTGGCCGATGATGAAATTAATCTTAGGACCAAAAGGTACTTTGAGAAATTTATGGCACATAAAATTCACTAATTCAATTGATTCAATCACACCAGATTCTGCTGTAGCCTAAATACAAATAGTCATTTTTTTCCGAGATTTATATTTCATTTAAATTTATTGATAACCAAAGCAAATTAACATAAAATAAATAAATTTTTTCACCCCAGTTGCACTCTTCTTTTTTAGTCTTGTATTTTCTATTCCTTCAGCAACAATTTCTTCGTTTTCAACTTCTTCATCCTCTTCTGAAATGTTATCAGGAAACGCGTTTATTTCTTCAGTTTGAGAGCGACGAGCGCGTTTTGAATGACTATGAACAACGGACCTAGATCTTGACCTAGTTTGACACTTTCGAAACAATAGTAAAGATTTAGTGTATTATCTTAAGGTAGAGTCATTTTCTATAAATTAAATGTTCGCTGTCTCAACTTGAAAATGTTTCAGCGGCTTTACTTGCATAAATGCTTATTAAACTTACTTGGCTATTAGAAGCTTCTTCTGCTTCACTTTCTGACGATTCTGAACGTTGTCTTTTTGATGACATGGTAATTTTTTTTTTTTTAAAGATTAGAAACGCAGACGCGTTAGGGAATCTTTGACCAGCCACTAATGAAGATGAGCAACGCGACTGATTGGTCAAAAATTGAATACAAAATTCTGTGGAACAGATTTCGATATTCTGAATTAGGTAGAGTGTCCAGGATTATGCTGCGTAAATACCAAATTATGCATGCGTAATAAAATAAATTATGCTAAATTATGCGTT